CCCCCGACCGGTAGGTGCCGACCAGCCGACCGGTCGGCGGGTCGGCAGCCGACCAGTCAAGGGTCGCCGACGGTCGGCTTGTGCAACACTGCATAGGAAGCCGAAGGGGGGAGAGAAGGGAGTGGAAGAGAAGGAAGGAAGTCGAGGGAGGGAGAGGAAGAGGGAGAGAGGGAGGGAGAGCAGGAGGCGGGAAGAACGAAGGTGCTTACATTCCAGAAGTAGTACCCACTGTTTCTGGTGATCTCAATGAAAATTTTGCACTCGGTTATGTTTTCACTTCCAGATTGTTCCACAGTCTGATTTGTAATGCTACGAGCTACATCGGCCATAGGATCACCTGCAAAGAAAAAGGAAATTTGTGGCAAATTCGTCAAGCATGGATTAAATTTGGCAAGTCTTCTGTTTTTTTTTTTCACAACCGGGTCTTCCCCCTCGAGACCCCACCCACCCCCCTCTCATCAATACTCCCTGTCTCACCCCCCCACTCCCTCAATCCTACCACAGTGTCTACCACCCAGGACAATCACCCCTGTACCAATTCTTGGTGGGATGACCTGACTAGACGGCAGTCGCAGGCTCTAGTGCTAAGCAGGATACCCGTTCATCCCTGGTAGAAGCAAGTCCCAATAAGAATTATGATCCCAATGGACCACACAGATATATGTGGCATACCATAATGGTGCAGACCAGAACAAGAACCGACCTCTTTCTCATAGTACAGGATAGCGCAGCAGAAGGCTAAAATACCAATGATCAGACCAATCAATGTCGTAATGCAGACCAAACATACAGCATCATCACCGCAAGCTGTGAAGGGGCCTGGCACTACACACAGGAAGAATGCGCCAGGCTCCGATCATACACAGACGAAGAGGAGGGGGATCAGACGAAGAGGAAGGGAGGGATGAAGATGTCGTCAACACCAAGTCTTTGATATAGATCCCAAATAATCCCTCATCCAATGTCTCTGTCCCAGTGTCGAGTCTGAATCCAAATGTCGTCAAATCTCAAAGTCGCAAATCTCTCTCTCTCTCTCTCTCTCTCTCTCTCTCTCTCTCTCTCTCTCTCTCTCTCTCTCTCT